TCGAAGTGACACTTGAATTCTAAAAATTATTTTTAACGATATATCTCGGAATAATAGGATAGTGAATCGCGTGATCCAGTTTACCTGTCGCTGTGTGTTATGAGGAGAAAGCAAGAAAACTGGAATTGAATCTGCATAAAGTTGAAAGCCTCGATCTAGTTTTCTTCCGTAAGATCTGACTTGTAACGATTATTTTATAACTTGCCGCAGAACAAGTTTACATCTACCTGAAAGAACCAACTCTCTCCCAACTTCTCAAGAATGCAGTCCGCGGAAGGTCACTCTCAAAAAAATTTATATATATTTTATTCGTGTACTTTCTTTCTTTTACTATTATTATTATTATTTTTGTTTTCAATCTGAAAAAGTAGTGATAGTAAAAGTGGTGAAATATATTCATGCATTCTAGACCAGGGGTCTGTCCAGACATTTTTAGAAAGGTCCGTTTTTATAAAATTGTGAAAAAATTACTCGTAATTTGTGAATATAAAATGAACATTAAGTCACATTCGTTTAACCAGGGTCCGCTTTTGTGAATTTGTGCAAATGAGTCCGTTATTGCAAAAAAACTTTTTCAAGGAGTTTTTAGATTTTAAAGACATACAAGATTATGCTCAACACTGTAAAATTATAATTTAAAAAATTAAATTTAATATTCTTTAACGGAAAATNCGATGCAACATACAAATATTTGGTATTTAGCCTATACTGCTGAACGCAGAATATTCATTTCGGACGAATAAAGGAAGAAGCGTCTGCCGAAGACAAAATTTAGATAGCTTACATCTGTCTTTCCTTCCCCCCCCCCTTCCTGGGAAGGGTTTATTCGATTAACAAAACAATAATGAAGATAAAGAAATTTGTGAAGGGTCTGATTAAATGATAAATTATTTTGTGAAGGGTCTGTTTTTAAGTTAAAATATTTTGTGAATGGTCCGTTTTTATGAAAAGATATTTTGTTAACGGACCCAAATTTCTTCTAAACCCCTGTAGACCTACAAATAACCACTCGCCACATGGTGAGTCCACAAAAAATAGTGGCGACTTAAATTAAATAAACAACCGGTCACTTTTTTTAAAAAATTGTTTAATGATAGAAGTACATCAATACAGAAAAACTCTTTAAAATAGAATTTTTTCCTTTGAAATCTACAGTTTCTCCATTCAAAATTTTGACCCTTCAGAATCCATCAATTTGTGCTGGTAAGATTCATGTAGAAGGGTAGTTCTTTAACAATTCACATATTTTTAAGTTGTAATTTATCCATTAAATGTATATTGCTTCCTCAAATATTTTTACATTAAGTTCNCGAAATGTTTTTTAACCTAACAGAATTCTTTGCCGACTGTTTTCTCTATGAATGAAGAAAATAAAGTAAATATTTAACTGTTGTGAAAAGAATCTTATTTAGTTGTACAAAGTACTTCAGCCAAACGCTTAGAGCCACGTAAGAGAATTATATATATTAGATCAGAAACACATCATTAACAGGCAGAATGCTTTGGTGTTTTCAAAACAAAGCAAACGTTGCCACCGACGGAAAAGAAATACAGCCAAAATTTGGGAGCCACGTAAGAGAATTATATATAATAGATTTTATCCAAGCAACAAAAAGAAAAAAAAGTCATTAAATGAAAAAGACCTATCAATATCGATCACCGACTTATTAGATTTGAGGAAAAAGTGGCTACTAAGTTGTTAGAGTTTACTGGCCACTGACTACTAAAAGAAAATTTAAATTTTCAGGTTCAGTGCTATAGCATCATCGAAATTATGATTTCGCGAAGGTTTTGTATTTATCAATGGTGCTTTTATATTTCGGTGATAAAATAGGTATAAATTGTTTTAATTTCAATAATTAATTTCAAACATTGATTTTTAACGATTACTTTTTATGTTACATCTGCATCTTAAAGAGGAGTCCCAAAAACGTTGTGAGAAACATTACCAAAATTGTGCGCCAGAATTTAGCTCACAAAATATAGGTGATCACCAGAATTAAGATGCACTATTTCTTAATTTTTAACTGAAAGTTCAATGCTTAGTAAACAAACAAAAATTACTTGCTTAAATTAATTCGATTGTTGCACACATCATACTAAAAAAAATACCCGATACAAAATATGGGGGACTTAACATGTTTAATCCAGTTCTTGCAAACTATTTGGGGAACCGGAAAGTAATGTCGTTTCGGTGCATTTGATATTTGTTATCAAGATTTTATTTTTAATTAATAATGTATTCTCCCTCGTTAACAACAAACTTTCAATTTCGGATCGAAAATGAATCGAGAAAAAAAATGAATTGGTTTTTAAGACTAACGAATATTTAATGCGCCGAAACGACATTACTTTCCGGTCCCCCTAATATATTTTTCATTAAAAAAAATTAGAGACCTTAATTTCCAGCACTTTTTTAATGTATCACCCATTTTAGGTCAATTTTATACCTAGGATAAAAATGACCCGGTTAGACGGGTCTACCCTGTCAGATTTTCATTACTTGGCTGACGGATATGAATACGGGTATCAAGATTAAAAAACAACAAGCGTACAGCACTAGCCATTCAATTGCTGCTCGTTTCCTATGGGGAGTGGAGAACATCCAGGTTTTCGAATAAGAAAAATAAATCCAAATATTTTCATTTTCTTATTTTAAAAATAAGAATTTTTACGATAAACTTTATACAAAATGAACATAAAATATATAAAGTTAGTCGAGAGATATAAACTTGATTTTTATGAGCTACGCGCAATAGTTTATTTTCTATTTTTTCTTGCAGATTCTATTTTTTCATAGAAAAGTTGTTGTTTTTTTTTTTTTAATTTAATTATTTTATTACATAATTGAAGTTCTGAAAATTTCAGAGCAAAGTTATCTGATACGCCTGTTATATTTATTTAAAGCTCTGTGATAAATATTTTGTGTTAAAAAATAATTTGTCCTTTTTTCCTCCATTACATTTCAGAATAACATATACAAAGTCTAAGATTCACTTTCGAATAAGTGGATGCAATGATGTATTTTATTTTTAGGCTCAGTATTTCATAATAAAATAGTCAAAAAATATTCTTTATGAATGACACATTGATTGTTCTGATGTTATTACTGATATGAACGAGACAAGCCATTGTTGACTTAACTCAAAACGTGTTGCTTATTCGTTAGATGGTCAAATTATAATTACCTTACCTTCGGGCTAACCATGGAAGGCTTTCTTTTCTGTGTAACGCAAATTGGGGTTAGTTTCACTGAGAGAGTTTTTAACAAAAGCGCGTTTGCCTCAATGCCTGATTCATGTGTTACTTTTTTTCTAGACTAGGTTTAAAATAACATATATCGGATAATTAAAAAAAAAAGATTATAATATGGTTCAATCTTTATACCGGCCATTTTATGAAAAATACTTTACAAATATACTACGTTTAACGGAAGGTACTCATAACTGTTATTTGAAATTTAAGTTAATAAATCAGATGAAAAATTTATAAATTAAGTATGTTATCCTCCATTAGTTGATGCATATGACAGTTGACATTTTACATCTGGCATACTGATTTTCATTTAATAAAATTTTTAAATATAGTTAATTAACATAATATAACATATTATAGCATGTAAAGAAATGTAAATATTCATTTAACGTTCTATCTGGATTCATATAAAATTATGATTTTTGTATTGCTTTGCATAAATGGTACAATGACTCTTCTAGATAACCTAAAACCGATCGAATACCAGTTATCCGACCTTAGCAAAATTTTTAGCTCTAGTACATCTCCACATAATTAATTTATAAAATATACCAATTAAAATTTATTGTATGGGAGAAGTATCCTGCCTCTAATCTTCTGATTGTTGTGAATTTATGGAATTTATGTTTTGTGATTTAAAATAATAAATAAATAAATAAAATAAAAAACGTGTGAGCTTTCTATTTTGCAAATAGTTCAAAATGTGTAATTAAGAAAATTGACATATTTTCTTAATATTTTAATTATAATTTTTAAATTTTTGATTTAATTTGTCTTACCCTACCATATAACATTTTATTGTATCACGCCGTTTGTTTTTAAGCAGTGTTTTATTTTATCCGAATTTATAATTTCTATTTTATTTATTAATTTCGGCATTTTGCACATTTTAACCTTTCTATGATTTTTTTTCTGACATTTTACGAATTTTTGCACTTTTTTTCTTTTTTTTTAACTAGTATAAACAAATTTAAAGGGAATAATTTTTAAAATTAATTTTCCATCAATCGATTTCACGGAATTTAAAATCAAAAAAATATTATTGTAACAATTGTTACTTGGGGATCAATAAGAGCTATAAATTATTTATATCTTCCTTTTTTGTTTCGTCCAATTTTTCCTTGTCTTGGCAATATAATTTATGTATCTTTGATTGAATTTGGCTTATAACATTTTACTGTACCACGCCTTAATTTTTTCAGTGGTGTTTTATTGTATCCGAATCACTGATTTTTATATATTTATTTTAACGATTTGTAGAGTTTAAAATTTTTTTTTTTTTTTCATTTAGAATTTTTTAAAAAAAATTAAAGGGGATTTTTTTTAGTTAATTTTTTACCAATTTATTTCATGATATTCAATATTAATATGCAAAATATTATTGAAGCTAACGTTATATGAATATTCTTGAGGATGATAAAATATCTGTTTATAAATTTTTTTTTTGCTCTGCGATTTCCATATGTCTTTATTTAAGCAATCTTTATTTAAATTTAGCCTCCCCTAGTTCATAACATTTTATTTTATCACACCTTTTGTTAGCAGCAGTGTTTTATTGTCTCCGAATTACTGATTTCTGAAGTAATACATTAAGCGTTTCGCATTCCGATTGTTACGCTCCAGCGATCGGCCCCGAGGTAGTTTTTCGATGTTGTAATTCGTGTTTTAAGCTTTTGGATTTGGCCAAATGAAACCTGGACAGGTGGCGTGCCGTTTTTCAGTCTCAGAAGATTCGGTTTACCTTCTGCAGAGAAGTCTTGTTGAAGGAAACTACCGAGTTCACTTTTTTTTCCTTCTTCTTTATTTTGCCCATGAATATGTGTGTGGGTTTCCTTTTATTTTTTGTTGGTTTGTCACACCATCCAGATGAATCATTCCGTTTTTGCCGTTCACTGTGTGATCACCTTTGCCAACAACAGCATCTGTGACAAAATAAGATAATTGCACGTTTTATTTGGTTGTTTGCAGGGATGAAATGTTTATATCGTAAACAGTTATGCTAAAAATTATTTTAAGATCCTCAAGTGATTCATAGCGTGATTCTACAGCCGTGGAAGTGATATATGTTGTTATTGTGAGTGTGTGCATTGTATAGTGGTTAATTAATCTGAAGATTTAAAACTGATTAATCGGAATCAATTTTTAATAAACAATATCTGGGGCTGATTTTTTAATGCTGTGATTTGTGTGCTACTTCTGTTTGTGCGTGTGCCAAAACGCGTTATTTGTTTCAATATTATTTTAAACGCCTTCTGTTTACAGGAAGCTTACAAATTGCGTGTACTTATCAATTTAAAACGGTAACTGAAGAGCGGTGGAAAAATCTCAAACTATAAATCAAGGTGGAGTGATTGAAAAATAAAGTATACGCGAGAGTGTGTTTTATTTCCTCGTTGTATTTTTGCAGCTGGTGATTTATTAGTTCTTTCCCTCACCAAATGGTACCCACTTTCGCGTGTTCGAAAAATCACTTAACATTTCTATCGCCATCTGAATCTGGTTAAGTTGTTTGTGATCCAGTGAAAAGTTAAGCGAAAATTGGCTTTATGATTTGTGGTATGCCGACTAGATTTGATTCGCCTGTGAACAGGGGCAATTTCAATGGGTGTACCATGCCGCCTACTTGGGGATATCAACATCAGCCGCAATTTTTAAAATGGCGTACATGGGCACAACCAGCACGCCCAGCACATTCATTGGTAAGTATTTTACTTATTGTTTTTTTTTTCTCACGGAGAGTTTGCTTTCTTTAGGTACATAAATGAAGAAATGACCTCTTAAGAGAATGTAATCTATAACACTCTGTGACTTCGTTATTTTTCTTACCTAATATCGTTGAAGTTTTGTACAGTATAGCCAAAGTCTGTTGCTTTGCTGTTAAACTTAACATTCAGTCAAAGATTTTTATGTAAATAAAAATCCAGAGATTTTGTGATGACCAGGGATGTTAGCGAACGCTCATTAAAAGCTAGGCTGGAAAAAAAAAAAATTTGTGTTGCTATTATATTTTAGTTTTATTTAGGTTGTTATACTTTTATACAAATCCACTTGAACGTGTTTTATGCACGATGCCTGTTTAAAAGTGATGCATTTCTTCTATTTTTAATTCAATTCATTTATTATAATGCACACAATTTTACTAGCCGTTTATTAATTGCGCCATTGACTTTTTTTCTTTGAGTTTTTTTAAGTTTTTTATTAAGTTTTAAAATTTAGTATATTCTTTCAGATATATTTTATTAATATAATCATTTGTTATCACAATTCACAATATTTTTAATATTTGTTTCTATTTGAAATGCCCCAAATTTCAAGAAACCGTAAAATCTAAATTTTCCTAAAGGTATTATACACGGTGGCTTAGTGTAGATTTAAAATGAATCGATGGCAATTAGCACTGGAACTGAAAAACTGTTTACTCGAAGAATATTTTTCCTTATGTTAATTACAACTAGATGTCAATATGTGCCTTGTTTATTTGGGTTACTTGAAATCTCAAAAACTGATTCTTTTATTATCCTTACATTCATATCTTAGATAAACTACTTCCCTTTTTTTATGAAACACAGTCCGTACTCATGGAACATGCTGACGAGGTGCGGTCGCCATTGTTCATTTTTTCATTGTCCGTTGTCTTGAGATGATGTCACACTCACACAATAGCAATTAAATGACTATTAGTAAATAGCTAATCGGTCACCCACATTTCTAATACCCGTGTGACCTTCACAGTAGCAGAATCTGTGCTGTAAATCGGCGACCGATAGAAAAACTGGTCCGGAGTTCGCACCAGTGATTAAAATTTTTATTATTTTAGTGATTAGTTGCTGTATAATGAAATTGCAAAAACTGCTATAGATATTCTTCACGCATCACTAAGCCATAGTCATTGTAACATTGTACAGAATTATTTAAGTTTAGTTTGATTTTTCACTTAATATAAGTTCTGTTTGATTACAGTTTGATTTTTTTTAAAGTCGAAGTTTTTTCGGATTTTAATGAAGCAATAAAATCTTTAATATATGTTTTGTTTAAGAAGCTATAGTTAGTTTAAAAAAGTATGAAAGTTGAGAAAGACAATAGTTTCGTTTTTGTAATTGTATTTTATAACCGTCATTGAACAGCGGACCCAATTTTTTTTTAACTCTGTAGGTTTGTAATTTTGAACCCAACTCAAAAGACAAGCGACTTCCTGGATCAAGCATTAAGAGGAACTATTCTTCGAAGAGGTCTTTTTGATGGAATTAACCCGCATTTGCGTTATATCGAGAGCAGGACTACGAAAAACTCCCATGATTTGCCCTACGCAGTGTTTCCCAAAGTGTGGTATGCGTACCCCAAGGGGTACGGGAACAGTTCAGCAGGGGTACGCGTTCTTATGCGAAATATCTTACAACAAACGAAAATGTGAAATTTTTTTATTTTAAATCAAAGCTAGTCATGAAAATTTATGATTACTTATTTTTCTATTTGCTATTTTTTGCAGAGTTAACAGTTAATAATTAGTGGTGTCAACAGCCAGTTGTGATTTTTAAATTTTGTGCCATTTTTTTATTTTTTAATTAGTGGTACACAGCNAAAATGGTACCCACTCAAAGCGTAATCTATGGGATATTTAGCCATGATATTTCAGCTATACTAAACTATTTCACTTACTATAACATTATTTAAATATGTTCAGCTGTTTTCCCACCAATTAAAACTAATAAATATAGTTAGCCCTATAAAGCTCACAAAAGAGCACAGTAATTGTTGTTTCCTTTTAATATTTGTGTATAATAGTTCAGGGAAAACACAGGGAATTTTTTTTCCAAATTTGAGTGGCAACCCTGCATAATAGCGGACCCAATTTTTTGTTAACTCCGTAACTTTGTAATTTTGAACCCAACTCAAAAGACAAGAAACTTCCTGGATCAAGCATTAAGAGGAACTATTCTTCGAAGAGGATTTTTTGATGAAATTAACCCTCATTTGCGTTACATCGAGGGCAGGACTACGATTTGACGATTGAGACCAGGACTACCCATGATTTGCCCTACGGTAAGGGGAATTCTAACCCATGATCCTTCTACCACTGAGGATATTATACATCAGAACTGTGGTCAGTGCGAGCCGGGAGCAGAATTTGTATTTATCAGCCACCTCTGGGATTCAAACCTGGGTCACCTCAATGGGAAGCGAACGCTCTATTACCTGAGCCACCGCGGCTCTTTATTATAGAATTATCAACAATCTTGTTATTACTCTATATTCCTTTACAACTGTTTCAGTATTACAAAAGCATACTTTTGGTTATTTTGAACTTCCGCCTTCCTTTATGAGCTTAAATACGAAATTAGTAACCCCCTAATATTTGTTCAGATGAGTTTTTTATAATTAATTATTTTTGTGGTTTCCTAGGAATTTTTTTTTATCAACCCTTATTAATTAATTCTGAAATTTTTAAATAATCTATAAAAAATTTAGGAAAATATTTTTTTAAATTTATATTATGCTCTAAATAAATGAACTTATGAACTTGTTCTTAAAGCATTTATCACCCTTATTCTTAAAACATTTTATTACCTAAGAAGCAGTATTAAAAATAAGCAAAATTTATTTTTGTAATGCTATTGAAAAAAAGAAATTAATGAGATTTGTATCTCATTGCTATTGAGTATTGCGACTTCACTACAAAATATAGTCATTTTTTTTAAAGGAGACTGTAAATAAAATAATTAGGTAAATAAATAGATAAATTAAATAATTTACTGCAAAAAATAACAAATTAACAGTGTGCATCATATTGGGGGAAAATGGAGAAAAAAAAATATTTCAATCCGTATTTTAGAGTTAAATAAATCAAAAATAAATGCTTCGCAAGGCGAAATATAATCAAAATTCAAAAACTAAATGCAAATATTTTCCAACATAAATAACGTGCAGGGTGAATCCGGAAAGAGCATTTTAACCGATGGCAGTAAGAAAGAAAAGTATTAAATCAAACGACGGAGAAAAACAAACAAAAATTCATCACGAGATGCAGAGTCCGAAAAGATGCTCCATTTGATAGTTGTATAAATTGCTGACTTCTTCCGTGGCCTACAATTCCACATGCCCTTCTTTCCCGTTCAGTATATTCTTGATGACCTTTGTACCGCCTGTCCTTTAGGCATTTTCTTTCGGTTCAATAATAACTATTTTTAATGTGGGTGGTGTAATTTTTTATAGTTTTTAAGAATTAAAATTCAATGTATGAAAGAAATCATTGGTTATATTTTTGTTTTAACCCTTTGGCGCAAAATTTTTGTGAAAAATATTTTTCATATTTTTTTTAATTATTTTGTATTATTTAAAGAAATTTTATATTTAGCACTTCAATTATTTATGGTTATCAAATGCAGCTTGAAATACCGGTGTCTCTTTCTGTGTTAAATGTAAAATCTTTTAAACACGACTCACTCCCAAACAATAATTTTTCAAATTTGCACTTATTTGCAGTCATTTAGATCTATGAAGGGAGAAAAAAAATATTTTTTTTCCAAACTACTTGTTTATGATTTTATACTTTAGTATAAACCTAATTCCGATAAAGTAACAGAGTCTTTTTTAGTAACTATTAGACTATTTTTTATAATTAAAAACTACCAAAATATATCCTGGCTTGTAATTAGTAGAGCGTCAGAAATATATATATATTAAAGGGACACCGGTGTCCCATTTCGTCAAAGGGTTAATTCATTTCTCTTTATTAAAAAGTTCACATTTTGTGTAACAATAAGATGGCCTTTTAAAATGATTGAATGCTAGTTAATGGTAAACACTTTTAATAATTATAGAGAAATCACGAAAAATGCAATAATAATTATTTATTTATTTTTTCGTTGTGCATGTTTGTTATTTTTTTAAAAGGATGCTGACTGCTTGGGATTGTTTATATTTTAGATTATTGTTGATTCTTTATATTTTAGATTATTGTTGATTGTTTATATTTTAGATTATTGTTGATTGTTTATATTTTAGATTATTTTGATTTAATAATTTTAATTTCATTATTTTTAAACATGCCTTCAAAATAAAATACAGTTATACCAAAAAATAAATATAAAATGATTTAACATTTTAACTTACTAGAACGTTAAATCAATGAAAAGCCGGAGCTTGTTTCTTTGCAATGAGACGGATTCATCTGGGGGTAATCGGAGACAATGATACATTACAAACATTAAAAAATTTATGGCACTACCTTCGGGGGCCCCTGTTTTTTAAATAAATAAAATTCTAATGGAACACAGATATTTTTAATTTGGGGTATAAGCTTAGGAATTTAAATTCAGTTTCAATAAAATGGGCGGCTCGGTACCATTTGATCCATGGACCGGGGGTAACACTGCCTTAATGAATATATGAATAATAAAAAGTAAATTCTTTTAGAGCAACCTAATGTCACACAGTCAATCTTAATTTATTTTTTATATTGTATTTCGATTTTATATATATAGTGTATCGGTTAAGACGAAATCAATTCATTTTAATAGACAGCCTATTGAAAGAAGAAAAAAAATCTATGTTGATATTGCAGGTGTTCGCCATTCATTCTACCGGAACCCTTATTAACGCAAAGTAGATATAACTTCCTTTCTACTTTACGGAACATGCTGAGTTCATATTAATAAAAAGTGCTTCATATCCATAAATTTCTTTTTTAATCTTAGTTTTT